GCCCCCGCCCCTCGGCCTTTTCCGCCAATCCCCGCCCTCGCCGCTCGGGTATTTCCGGCAGCGCTCGGGTATTTCCGCCTCCCCCCTTCCCCAATACAGAACCAGTCTCCAGCAAGCCGCACGCTGCTTATAATTATCCTCCCGCCCCAAACGCCTCACTAACGCTAATTAACCCCCCTCCCTCCCACCAGCACTCATTAACCACCCCCCCAGCTGCTCGGGGACCTGCCTAAACCCCCCTCAAGGGCCAGTTTCACCCCCCAACCCCCTTCAAACTCCTTGAAATCCCCCCCCCCCAAAAAACCCCAAAAGAGCCCCAAAAAGCCACCAAATGGCCCGAGTTTCGGTGCCGTTTACTGAAGTGGGGGCTCAGGAGTTGGCGTTGGGGCCCTTCTTCTTGCCAAAGCCGGGGACGACGTTCACGAAGCGGCGGTTGTACTGCATGCGCCGCTTGGCCCGGCCCGTCTTCTTCTTCTTCTTCTCCTGCTTGGCCACCTGGGGGGGGAAAGGAGGGTCCCCAAAATCGTGAGAGCCCCCCAAAACCGTGGGGAACCCCCTAAAGTTGGGGGGAGCCCCCCCAAATGCTCACCTTGGGGGTCTGGCCCCTCACTTTGCCGGCACGGGCGAGGGAACCGTGGACTTTCCCTGCAGGGGGAGAAGGAAAATGGGGCGTTAGGGAGCGCGGTTGGCTCGTTAAGCTAACGAGCACCCCGATAATTAGCAGACCCCCTCAAAACGTACCCCCCAGGAGGCGCGTGGAGAGCTCCAGGGTGGCGAATTCGGGGAGGGGGCTCTGTCCCAGCACGGCGTCATCGTCCAGGGGGGTCCCACCCCACAGCAGCACTTGCTCCTCGGGGGGGACGCCCGCCAGCGCCGCCACCCGCGCCTGGGGGGGGAACGGGACACCGGGGGGTCAGTCACCCCAAAAAGGGTCTTACTGGGGGGGACGACACAACATGACCCCTCCCGAATTTCTACTCACCTTGATTTGGGCGACGGTCTCGGCGCCGGAGACCTCAAGGGTGTGGAGGGACTGGGCACGGATGAAGAGCTGCATGGTGAGCTGGGGGGGGGAAAGGGGGGGAGTTTAGGGGGTCCCCCCCTC